CTCCCACAAGTGCTTTGTAGTTCTGCTGTGAGAGCAGAAAGGGACACAGGGCTAATAATCCAGGGCTGGGCATTAAGCACACAAGGAAACAGACCTATGAAGATGCCAGTATCGGGATTCTCAAATGCAGATTAGCTGTGTTTAAAGAAAGGTGGGAAGCTTGCAAGTGTGGTTAGAGGACAGGGTACCTTAAAGCAATATCTTGACCAGCAGACTGGACACAGCCGAGGAGAGACACCCTGTTCACACCCTTCAGAGACCTAGAGGACTAGTGCATGGTTCTGGGTGAAAGACCAGAGTACCACAAAGCTGTCTCTGTTCTTGAATCAATTGACAGACTCAGAGCAGATACAACTGAGATGCCAACAGGGCTGTTACGGAAGTTGACAGGCTGATTCTAAATTTTATAGAGAAGAACAAAAAGGTCAGGAATAGCCAAGATATGCCTGAAGAAGAAGAGGAAGTGGCTGGCTTTGGAAATGACTTTACTCTGCGGCGTTAGACAAACAGATTGACCAACAAAGCCAGTAGGGAGCTCAGACCAGACTTAAAAAAGCCACTTATAAAAATTTGATTTAAGGCAGAGCTGCCATTGTCCATCATTGAGAAAACAATGGTATTTACCAAAACTTCCTGAGACCCCCTAATTATCCATGTGGGAAAAATGAAATTTCACATAGTAAGTAAAAATCAATCCAGACAGATTGATGACTTCAATATGGAAGGCAATTTATAAGAGAATATTCATGACCTAGAAGTAGGGAAGTTTTCTTAAACAAGATAGAGTCCTTGGCCCAGTGGCTCATACCTGTGGTCCTAGCACTTGGGGAGACTCAGGCGGGAGGATCGCTTGAGCCCAGGAGTTGGAGGCTGCAGTGAGCTGTGGTGACACCACTGCACTCCAGCCTGGGTGACAGAGTGAGACCCTGTCTCAGTTAAAACAAAACAAAAGGTAGAAACAGGAGAAATCATGAAAGAAAGATTTATGAATTCAACTATATTAAAATAAAAAACTTTCATCAAAAGACAAAAGGTATCGTAAAGACAGTGAAAAAATACGAGAGATCTTTGTAACACAAATAACTAAGAGGGAATTAGTGTCTAGAATATATATTTTTTAAAAATACTACTGCAAATAAGTGAGAAAGAAAAAATTCTAATGGGTAAAAGTCACGTGAATCTAGTGAAGAATATAGATGGCTCATGAATATGAGAGAAATGCTTGACCACATTAATAATCAGGAAAAATTAAAAACCACCTATGTGGGAATTCATTATACTAATCTCTGGATTTTCATGTATGTTTCAAGTTTTCCATTATATATTTTGAAAAAAAAATAAGAAAAGGAGAAAAGGTAAAAATCGTGCCAAATTCCATTACTCCTAGATAACCCCTTTTAATATTTATTTGGTTTTACAGGTCAGTGATTTCCTACACAAATATATACATATAAACACATATGCGGCTTTCAAAAAGAAAGCTATATAACTTTAATTATAAATTGTGATAAACCTTCCCTGTCATAAAGTTTGCATTTGAATTAAAACACACCTCTGGGCCGGGAGCGGTGGCTCATGCCTGTAATCCTAGCACTCTGGGAGGCTGAGGCGGGTAGATGGTTTGAGCTCAGGAGTTCGAGACCAGCCTGAGCAAGAGCGAGACCCCGTCTCTACTAAAAATAGAAAGAAATTAGCCTGACAACTAAAAATATATAGAAAAAATTAGCCAGGCATGATGGCGCATGCCTGTAGTCCCAGCTACTCGGGAGGCTGAGTCACGAGGATTGCCTGAGCCCAGGAGTTTGAGGTTGCTGTGAGCTAGGCTGATGCCACAGCACTCTAGCCAGGGCAACAGAGTGAGACTCTGTCTCAAAAAAAAAAAAAAAAGGGATAAAACACACTCCTGCAGGGATATACCATTTATCACACATCCCTCATGGGGATTCATCACTTGCTCAAGGGATGTGCTGTGTAGGCCAATGGGAGTGTACAGATACTTCATGGAAACATTGCCCGCTAAATCTTCAAAACTTTAAAGTTTGACACTTTGAAAATTTTATTGCATGTCATAGTTGAAATAGGCATTATTTTTTAGAAAGATAATAATGTTTCTTTTTTTCCAGTGACAAAAGTAATCTTGTGAACATTGTGGAACACTGGGAAAATACAAGTAAAAAAGATACCACCCTAACCCACCATCACCCACAACAGCACTGCTAACATAACAAATTCTTTGTTATACAGCACTTATACTAGAATTTCAACTAGTAAATGTACAAGGAGTGATAGAAATAGATAATTAGCATTTGCCCAACATACAGTTAGGATTGTTCAGGCAAGAATCATCAACAAGTGCTAAAAGTGGTAAACGTATGATGAGAAACAGGGTGTTTATGTGGCCTTACAGTGTCCCCACAAGACACTTATTAGTCACAGAGAGAACAGTGCTGTTACAGTGGGTGCCCCCTTGACCAAATGATTCACATGACCATCCTCGGCCGTGGGGCAGAGCCCCACCCACCCCAATATGCTGGGCCTAGTCATCTCCTCTGTGACATATGGGGAATCTGAATAAAAGCTGTTTTTTGAAATTTTTTGTAAATATGAAATTGTTTCAAAACAAAAATTTAACATTTTAAAAATGAAAGCAAGAGGGCATGATCAGTTGATCAGCGGCATCCAGAGTGGCACAGTTCTCTTGGGACGGAAAGGTGCTGCCTGGATTTGGCTGTCAGGAGTGAGCGAGGCCCCATCGCTGGGTAGACCACATTGCGGGCTGGGAGGTCGGGTGCAGGGCTGGCCTGCTGTTGCTGGTGCCTGGTGAGATGCTGGATTGAGAAGGGTGAGGACATCTGGACAAGAGCCAGGAGTGGCCCCATGCCCTGTGGTTTTCTGGACGATGGAGTGGATCTGTAGGCCAAGGGCACAGGGAGATAAGCACATTGAAAGGGCCTTCGGCAGAGAGGTGGGTCTGAGCCAAACAAGCCAAGGCATTTATTTGGGGGCAGGAGAGTTGTTGGCAAATGTGTTTAAGATCAGCAAAGAAATGGGCTCCCCCGCCTCAGACACTTTCCATGGAGATGATGACCCTCCTCCTCTGGCCTTCAAGACTCCTCCATTGGGCTATCCCCAAGATGCTCCTTCACCTTCTCCCCAGTCCTTCCTTGTCTCCTGACTTCTGAATGCACTGCCACTGTGTGCAGTGGCACACAGGCTGAGCCCCCCAGCCCCTTGGTCCTCTCCCCCAGTTGGACACCTGAGCCAGCTCCCATGCAAGCCCCTGTGCAGAGCACTCCGGTCCCATGGCCCCACATGGGCTGTCCCTGAATCGCTCCCCTTCCCTCAGTAGGCAGCATGTGGGAACGGGGGACAATGCCTGAAAAACAGGCACATGGCCTGTTTTTCAGTTTTCTGCATCAGCAAGAAACAGGGACCCAGAGCCTACAGGGCTGCAGCTGGGAGTGCTGCCTCTACACAGGGGAGGGGCCAGGCTGGGCAGACATGAGAGGCAAGGACGGCCAGTGGGGTGATGAGAGCTGGTCTTCCTGCTATCCTCTCATGGCATGGCCTTTGCTCCTCCCCGTGGAGTGATCAGGGTGGGGTGGGGCACAGTCCACCTGTAGCCATTGATGCCCCTTTTGAGGGCATGTGTGGGTGCACATCACAGACTGTTCTCAGGGCAGCAGTGCCCCTGGCCTGGTTTCAAAGGGTAGGACTGAGGTCTTTAAAGGTGTGTGTGATAAAGGTTGTACCCTGGGCCAGTCAGTGCCTGCCTGTCCAGGGAGAGCTAGGGAAGCAGCCAGTATCTCTTTCTCTCACTGTCCTGGTAGAGCTACAGGTGAAACCACCCCACACCCCCAAGCCCAGGTCTGCCTGCCTACCTAGTGTCCACTGGCCTCCCTGCCCTCCCCACACACCTCCCCTTTTCTCCTGGGCCCCTGGAATTAATACCCTTTTCCTGGAAACAAGACCCCTAACCAGCCCAGTTATGGTAAAAAAAAAAAAAAAAAACCAGGCATATTGCAGAATTACAAGACAGCGGATGGATTGACAGATGGTAGGCAGAGATTGTCCACACTGAGGAGCACTCCCAGCCTTTAAAGGATTTTTATGTCTGTGTAGAAACTTGGAAGCTGCCTAAAAAAATGTCATATGTCACCTGGACCACACCCTGATATCAAACAAACCAGCATTATAATAGTCTTATTCTTAATGGCTTTAATTTACATTGTTTTCCAAGTTGTCTTTTTAATTTAAAAACATTAGATGGTTGGAGGCAGTGGCATTCAGGGAGGGGTCTGGGTTCTGGGCCCTTCTGCTCTGGGGGCCATGGGAGAAAGTATCTCAGGAGCCCAGCAGCACTTTCTAGCTGGGCCCGAGGCCCCTCTGGAGCCCTGACACAGCGTGCAGGTGGTAGTGTTCCTGCTTTGGCAGAAGGACTATTTCAGCAGGTACTTGGTGGTCATCTGAGGGACCCAGGCCACAGTCAAGCACTGGAGGCAGGACAGGACCTGCATGGGGCAGTGTTCAGTTGGGGTGTCACCTGGGTCCCTCTAAGGACAGGAAGCTCCAGCCATGCAGGCATGTCCCCACTCCCTGGAGACTCCCAGAAGGCTGCCTCGCTCACCCTCAGCAGTGGCCTCTCCAGGGGCTCCCCCCGGGGACTGGGGTGCTCATGAGCATGTAATAGTCAAGAATGGGACTTAGGTTTGGGTCTGTTTGATTTTTGTGTGACAGGATTTCTGCTTTCGAAGCTGGTACATTTGAGCAAAGGTCTGCAGATGGCCAGCTCCGATGGACTGCAGGGTGGGGACGACAGGGAAGGCGCCTTCTGCCATCAGGGGAGCTGAGATGGGGGTGGGGTGGGGAGCAGGGGGAGGCCTAGGGTTAGGGGACGCGGGGCGCAGGGACGGAGGGTGTGGGTCAGAGGCGGACTGGGGTAGGAGCAGCTGGTCCTCCCACGCCCTAACGCCCTCGCCCCCGCCCCGCCCTTCTTGCAGGCTGGAGTGGGTGGAGATCATTGAGCCCCGCACCCGGGAGCGCATGTACGCCAACCTGGTCACGGGGGAGTGCGTGTGGGACCCTCCAGCCGGCGTCCGCATCAAGCGCACCAGCGAGAACCAGTGGTGGGAGCTCTTCGACCCTAACACGTCGCGCTTCTACTACTACAATGCCAGCACGCAGCGGACCGTGTGGCACCGGCCGCAGGGCTGCGACATCATCCCACTGGCCAAGCTGCAGACCCTGAAGCAGAACACGGAGTCCCCGCGCGCCTCTGCGGAGAACAGCCCAGGGCGCGGCAGCAGCGTCAGCCGTGAGGGCAGCACCAGCTCGTCCCTGGAGCCCGAACCAGATGGAGAGAAGGCACAGGAGCTGCCCTCGAGGGTGGGGCGGCCAGCGGCCTTCACGAGGGAGGAGAGCGGCAGGTGAGGGGCAGGGCAGGTGTGGGGCAGGTTGGGCATGGGGAGGGGCGGGGCAGGGGGGCCAGGTGAGGGGTGGGGCAGGTGAGGGGCGGGGCAGGTGTGGGCTGGTGAGGGGGCCAGGTGAGGTGGGTGAGACCAGGACTCCACTCCTGGAGTGCTGCCTGAATGTCATCTCAGCAGTTGGCTGTGCCAGCTGCCACCACGGTCCCCAGCAAGCATTTCCTTGGCTCTGGTTTGGCAAAAGAGATTGGTTGTTCAGTAATAAAGAGTTTTCCCATCTCTCCATCATCCTCCGGTCTCTTGCCAAGATCTATGCTCACTGCTGGGCTCCCCTGGCAGGTAGTGGGGAGGGCCACACCAGGCCTTCCAGGACTTGGAGCCAGGCTGGCGCACTCCCTCCCTCTCTGCTGGGACCTTCTAATGGTGATGAGAACATCAGTCACCTGGGTTTCCAGGGCTCAGGAGCTAAATAGGTGAGCAGAGCCAGTGAGGAAGAGAAGGGAGAGGAGAAACCAAGGAGAAGTCCAGGACTGTTGGAGCCTTGATCCGCCATCCTTTCCCAAGATCAGCGGCACCTTGAGTGGAGGTTTTTCTGGCCAGTATCTGTGGACTTGTGTTTTTGGTATTTGTTTGGTTCTCCTGCTTGTGGGAAATGCAGGTGTGGCCTCAGACACTCCAGAGGTACCACCCTGATGGTTCATGGAGCAGAAGGGGTGCCTTCCTTTGGCAAAGCCCACCCTGGGCACAGGGTCTGGTCCATGCAGGGGATGACAACCCCAGCATGGTGCCTGTGCTTGAGCTGGAATGATCTTCCTGGTATCCCCACAAGGGAGGTGCTGCTGTTCTCAGGCCACAAATGAAGACACTGAGGCTTAGGCTGAGGAACTTGTCCGTAGCAGGCAGGGGAGGCAGGCATCATTCTTGGAACACCCACTGAGTCTGCTCAGTCACACGGATGTCTTTGCTGTATCTGTTCAGAGGATGGCACTGTTACCCTTATTTTTCCTTGTGAAACACAAGGCTGTGACCCACACCTTGCTGTAGCCTGGCACATATTTGGGTGTCTCCCCGAGACATCCACAGAGACGAACCTTGATCTTCCTGTTGTGGCATCTGTGGCCCTAGTAGTGTGAGGACACCATGTTGGGGTGGGCAATGGCTAGTGAAAATCAAATAGGCCCCTAGATGGGAAGTTCCCGAAAGAAGCCAGGGAAAATCTAAGGACACAACGTTGAGCTGGGCCTGGAGCCACATGGAGCTATCCAGGGGCAACAAATCTCCCCAGGAGAAGCCCCTGTGTCTTAGGGGACAGCCAGGGGACCAGAATGGTGAGAACACGGCAGGAGGGGTGAGAACAGGTTGGATTTTACTGTGGGACAGTAGAGACCATGAGAGTGATTGGAACCTAATTTAGACTTTGAGGTCTATTTTGTCCCTGCTGTGAATGACAAGCAAGGGGTCTGGAATGGAAATAGACTCATCGGGCAGCCATTGCAAGAGCTGGAAGTGGCTGTTCTGTGCAGTGCCATGGAGTTGGGGGCAGGCAGATCCAGGTCTATATGGAATATAGACACCTGGCTATGGGGCTCCTGCATAAAACAGAGGATAGGTCAGTGTGGATACTGGACACAGCACAAGGGGTCTTAACAGGCTTGGGGACAATCTTTTGGAGTCATCTGCAGACAGCAGAGCTTGTCTTGGTGGGAGCCAAAGAGACCCCTGCTCTCGTCAGTGGGAAGAGGTCAGGGTTCAGGGATAGGGTCTGAGAGGGGCTGAACCAGGTGAGGGGCAGGGCAGCTGCTGGTGAGTGAGGCAAAGGGTGTTGCAGTCATGGCTCATGGCGAGGGGTGCAAGAGGCGCTCTGGGATTTGGCAGGATTGTGGGAGAGCAAGGGCAAGACAGATGCCCATGCAGGAACAGATGGATGTTGCGGGCCAGTCAGGTAGCAGGGCCTTCACGGAGCTCGGGACATGGTTCGTGTGCAGACTGAAGCCTGGCCCGGGGGAGGACTGGGGCTGAGAGGAGCAGCTGAACCCCAGGGAGAGGGGATAGGTGATTGGTGCTCCCCGTACCAGTGTTTAGGTGCTAAGCGTGTGAGGCCATCACTTTCTGCAGAGGTGGAAAGGAGGGTAGAGAAGAGGGATCCAGAGTGAAGCGGTGAGCTCAGAGAGGGCCTTCTTAGAGCTTCCTGCCCAGTGCAGGCTGGAGGGGATGGGATAGGCTGGCAGGGTGGGAGCTAGTGAGGGATGGAGCTGGTCAGAGCCGGAGGAAATAGGGCGGAGGGGCACCGGCAAGTTGCAGAGTTAGCACTGGCGGCTTGGGTGCAGCTCAGTGGGATGGTGGAGGCACCAGCAGGAGGAGGACAAACTTTCCCAGGAACTGCTCCCACCTCCCCTGCAGCTCTTCTACGTCTTCCCCAACAGAGACTTTTTAAGTTTCTTTTGGCTATTCTGGTGATTGTGGTGTTTCATTGTGGTTTGGGTTTACATTTCTAATAACTTTGAGCCTCTTTTTGGGTGCTTATCAGCCATTTGTGTGTCTTTTCTAGAGAAATGTCTGTTCAGATCCTCATCTGTTTTATTACTAAGTTACATGTTCTTTATATTCTGGAGACAAGTCCTTTGTCAATATATGATTTGCAAGTGTATTCTCCCATTTTGTGGTTGTCTTCACTTTTTGATGACACTTTTTGATTATATTTGCAATATAGAAATTTTTAATTTTGATGACATGTTATTTGTCTACTTTTTCTTTCATTGCTCGTGCCTTTGGTGCCATGTCTAAGCATCTGTTACCAAATCCAGGATCATGCAGATTTACCCCATTGTTTTCTTCTAAGAATTTATTTTATCTATTAAATTTAGATGTTTGATCCATTTCGACTTAATTTTTACATATGGTGTGAGGTAGGGGTCCAACCTTCTTCTACATGTGGCTGTCCACCTGTCCCAGCACCATATTCTCTCCCCATTGAATGGTCTTGGCACCCTTGTCAAAAATCAGTCAGCCATAGATTTGGGTTTATTTTTGGTCCCTCAATTCTATTCCATTGATCTGTCTCATGCCAGTACCACATAGTTTTGATTACTGTAGCTTTGTAATAAGTTTTGAAACTGGAAAGTGTGAGTCCTCCAGCTTTGTTCTTCTCTTTCAAGGTTGGTATGGCTATTCAGGGCCCCTTGCAATTCCATATAAATTTGAGGATTGGCCTTTCTATTTCTAAAAAAAAGGAAAAAAAAAAAAGGCTGTTGGAATTTTCAAAGGGATTGTGTTGAATCTATAGATGGCTTCAGGTAGTATTGTCATCTTAACAATATTAAGTCTTCTGGTCCATGAACACGAAGTGTATTTCCATTTGTTTATGTTGTCTTTGATTTTTTTTCAGCAGTGTTTTGTATGTTTCAGTGTACAATTCTCACAACTCCCTGGTAAAATTTAATCCTAGATATTTTATTCTCTTAGATGCTATTGTAAATGGAATTTTTTTCTTAATTTCCTTTTCGATTGTTCATTGCTAGTGTATGGTAACAACTGATTTTGTGTGTTGATCTTGTACCCTGTAACTCTGCTGATTTTGTGTATTAGCTCTAGTAGCTTCTCATATATTCTCTAGGATTTTCTATGTATAGGGCCATGGCTATATGTACAAATAGAGATCGTCTTACATCTTCCTTTCCAATTTGAGCACCTTTTCTTTCTTTTCCTTAGCTGATTGTTCTGGCTGGAACCTCCAGGACAATGTTAAATGGCAATGGTGCAAGTGGGTGTCCTTGTCCTGTTCCTGATCCTAGGGAGAAAGAGTTCAGTCTTTCTCTATTCAGCAAGATGTTAGCTATGGGTTTTCCATAAATATCGTTTACAAGTTGAGAAAGTTCCCTTATATTCCTTGTTTTCTGAATGTTTTTATCACGAAAGGGTTTTGGATTTTGTCAAATGCCTTTTCTGCACAGTGGAGATGATAGTGTGTTTTTTCTCCATTCAGTCTATAATGTGATGTGTTATGTTAATCGATCTTATATTAAACCATCCTAGAGTGTGTATTTTAATCAAAACAGCCATAGCTGTGTGCAGTTGAAAAACAGAAGAACCTCCCTGTGGGCTGGGCATGTGGTTTCATGAAATCTATGAACAATCTAATGCCCCATGATCAAACTCTCACCCCAGGGCAGACCAGGAGTCTTTGGCCCTGCAATGGAAATTCCCAAAGGAGTTGATACTGAAAAGACAGAATTTAGGCTTTTGTAGAGGTTAAGGACTAAGGGAAGTTTATGACATATATAGGTGGAGCTCTGTGGAAACATTACTGCAGCATCTAGTGTATGGTTTAAATGAAGTAATTGAAAAACAAATGTATTGGTTTGCTAAAAACGTATGAGTTAAATCTAGATGGCCCCTCTGGGTGGCAGGGGCTCATCATGCGCAAGTCAAAGTCAGATTTTGAGAATTGTGAATCATCTTAAGAAAGAAACAAATGAGCAGGCTTGGAGTTAACATTTTAAGAATAACTCTTCTGCCCAGGTGTGGTGGCACCTGCCTGTGGTCCTAGCACTTTGGGAGGCTGTGGCAGGAGGGTCACTTAAGGCCAGGAATCCAATGTTGTAAGCTATAATCACGCCACTGCACTACAGCCTGGGCGACAGAGTGAGACCCTGTCTCAAAAAAAAAAAAAAAAAAGCTTCCTCATAAGACCCCATGCTGTGCTGCAGTGCATAAAATCTGCTGCTGCTTGTGGAATAGCTCTCACAGCTCTGGCTGCACATAGCTTCTCATTTTTATTGGATTGTAGTGGTTTTGAATTCTTTATTGGTTTGACTCATCTTTGTAATTAGGGATGAATTTGATTTCTTTTTATGATTTTATTTTCAAAATGTGTCTGTCTCCCACACCAGCAGGGCTGTCCTTCCCCACAGAGACTCTGGGTCTGGCCTCAGCTCTGCCCTATTTTCCACAGCCCTGAACCCAGGGTCCCTCTCTGGGGGCTGGAGTGTCCTTCACTTTTCAAA